CCCCCATAACTTTCCAGTAAAGCATCCTTGAATCTTTCCTAATTTAACTCAGGTTCCTTTTCCACAACTACTTTAAAGAAATGAATGGTTGATCACTCCATGCATAATTCTGCCAAAATTACCTTCAATTATGGGTTGGTGTCCAGAACTTGAAAGTAAACTTCCACACGAGTGATCCACCCGACGAGATCTTCACCATCAAAGGAAGGAAGTTCTACCTTAATCCACAGATTGGCAAAATTCATCGAGTGTTTCACCATGGAACTTAAAAGTCATTATTTTTTACGATTCTGTTTTTTCAACCGTCTTTGTGTTACTTTCCTTTATTTGACCCGTGATTAATCGCTCTTGGTCTTTGATGGCTTGGAGTCACATCTATGTTAGTGTGTTCTTGAGCGACGCAACTTCCATTTCCAACTCGTTCATCTTTGTCTCCATCTTCTTTGGTGGCACTCGTAATATTTTTTTCTTCTGATTGTTGGTTTCTGGTGACTCTTTCAATATCTTCAACAAGTTCGGTAGGTCGGACCAATTAATAGAAATACAGGACTTATATTATATATAGATACACAATAATGAAATACAAACTGTCCAGAGCACGATGCTCCTTCAGAGTGCCATATTAGCTCTCTGCCCTTACTAAAAGAAAAATACATAATGAAGATAATATTCTAATTGCTTACTTCTAACCCTTTTAAACCTCCATTTAGATAATTGTAACCCACACGTACCATAATTGTTGTTAACTACTTTCCCTCATTAATTGTTGTTAACTACTTTCCTTCTCTAGTAATAATTAACATTGTTAATTGATTTCTTATTCCCCCTTTCATACATTCTCTAAGTTCTTGTCTATTAACTACTTCATTAATAACTTTCCTATTAAATAGCATATTTTCCGCATTCTCTATTATTGTGAAGGACGTGGAAGATATGAATATATTTTTATCGTATAAATATCATTTTGATAAGTACACGAATAATTCTTGTGATTTTTCTACTTGGTTCGAGAATTTTACTTTTGTTTAAGTAAATAAAGATATGAGTCTCTTTCACCTTATCGGCGTGAATTTATGACGAATCATTTAGAGGCAGCTTTTCTATTGATGGTGGTTTTTTCAATTGAGATCTAATTTGTTTTTCTCTATGAAAGTTTCAAATCTTTTACTTTTATACTGTAGCACTTATATTTTCTGATTTGAGTGTGATTGTTTTGTTTTAGTTTTTGTGTTTTAAATATATATGTGTATGAAGTGTTTAAAAAGTAATAAATTTATTTTTAAAAAAATTGTTTTGTTCAAATATTTTTGTATTTTCTAAAGATTTTTATAAGAATTTTAAACAAACAAATAATTGTATTAAAAATGTTCAATATATATGTGTATGAAGTGTAACTATCAAGTGTTTTAGCATTTCTAATCTCTTCTCACTTCGCTTTCATCACATGGCACTGCCAACACATAATTATATTATTGGTTATATATAATACACTCTCAATTTTCAATCTCTTTAAATGAATAAAACAAAAAACATGTACTACGTACCTTATCCTATGCTATTCCGTACTTTAGTGTCCTTGTATTTTTGCTTCAGAGTTGGGACAGTGCCATCACTCAAAAGTCCAAGGATTTAAATTATTTTATTTCAACCTTGACCAGAATCAGTGCTCCTACAAATTTGTATAATTTTAATGTTATCATATGTACTTAAATAAATCATGAAAAGATTGAGATTACAAGTTGTCGTTAGCATCTAGGTTCAATGCATTCATTGCTTTTACTACAAACTGAAAAATTATTTGGACACAAATAACAACACCTATATGAATATATTTTTGTTTTTTAATTATAAAGGTTGAGTATAGTATATTTCGAATGATGTTTGTTATAAAAGTGTCATTTCTTCTTGTTCAAATAGCATAGTTCTACTACAATTCAATATTTTTATTATTTGTGGAGACGAGTTTTTCTTTAATTTACATTTTAATTTAGTATTTTTAGAATTATAATGTAAATACTCTTAAAGTATGTTTCGTTTAAAAAATACGTTGTGAATGTGAAGAGAGAAATAGATAAGAGAATATAAAAAGAGAGAAAAAAATGAGAAATAAAATAAATTTGAAATATTATTTGATTTAAGAAAAGGAGAAAAGAAATAGAAAAGAGAAAGTATCATATATTTTTAAAATACTAGTATAATATTATTATGATAAATATAATTTTAAAAATATAAATTTATAATTTAATGAGTAAAATAATTACTTTATTATTTAAATTTATTTTTTCTCATTTTCTCTTCATAATTAAAATATATATATAAAAAATGTGAGGTGCACTCTTTTTTAATCTTTCTTCTCAATTTTTTTTTCTCAAATAAAAGAAGTTATCACCTACTCTTTAATTTCTCTCTCACATATTTCTCTCATTCTTATTTCTAGTGTAACAAACACAGTCTTAGCATTCATATTAGACAAAGTCGAAACCATGTACCAAAAATAAAAAGACAAAGTCGAAAGCTATGGTCAAAAGGCAACAGTTTGAGAACTAATAAGGTTTGGTTGACAATAAGCAAGTTAGGTCATCAATCAACATGCCGGTGATAATGTGTTTTTTTTTTATTATTATCATTACTATTTGTACTAGTAGAAGGGGTGTTTTATTAATTAAGGCACATAGGAATTTAGGGACCTAGTATATACTTATTATTAGGGTGTTTAAAAAACCGCAAACCGTACTATTTAATTGTCCAACTGATCTGAATTGAAGTAAAAATAATTAAATTTATTATAATAATTTGCAAACTGAACCATAAATTTATCATAGTTATCAAACCGAAATTGAAACATGAATAATCAATAATCAAATAAAATTGTTTAAAATCAAATAATTTAGATTAGACTTTGTTTGCGAGTTTGAAAGGAGGGGGAAAAAAGGATTTTCAAAAATGAATTTTATTTAAAAATATAAAAAATAATTAATATATTAAAAAAAATGAATTTTTATAAAATCATAAAATAATATTTATTATTATTTTATTTTTAATTTTTAAAATACTATAAACATAAAAAATATTTAAAAAATTTATCTTAGTCTTTCAAAACCCTCCAAAATCTTCCTTTAATATAAATTAAATTTTGACTTTCTCTGAATTAGAGAATTTTTAGTATTATAAAGACTATACATATAATTACTGTGTTGTTTGTTATTATTTATTGTTGCTTTATAGGATTTTTAGAATTATAAAGACTATACATATAATTACTGTGTTGTTTGTTATTACTTATTGTTGCTGATTTACTATTTTGGTGAGTGGATTAGTTCAAATAACAATTATTAATTGAGTTAAAGCGGGTGTGCACTTAGTCCATAGTTTAATTTCTGACAACCACATTTATTTATATTTTCTTTCAATTATAAATAGATTATTACTATTTATATAAAAAAAATTATGCTGGTTTGAAATCTACAAGTTATTATTTTTTACAAAAATTATGTCTTTATAAAAACGTTAAATGCTAATTATAATTTATAATATTTTTTACTATATTGTTTTAAAATCAATTTTATAAATCCAAACCTATAATTAGGTAGAAAATTTAGTACAAAAATTATTTTATATATATATATATATATATATATATATATATATATATATATATATATATATATATATATATATATATATATATATATATATATATATATATATATATATATATATATATATATATATATATATATATATATATATATATATATATATATATATATATATATATATATATATATATATATATATATATATATATATATATATATATATATATATATATATATATATATATATATATATATATATATAAAATGGTAAAAAAATTGTCAAAAAAATTTTTTATTAAAAAAACTTTATAACATTTTAGATTTAATTCAATTCAAAATTAACAAACTTTTCAACGAATTGTTAACTCAGTTCGATATTAAAAAATTAAATTTTTTTATTATAATTCAATTCGATTATCTCATAAAATTCCTTATCATAAATTGTCGTTGTTCCTTCAACAACAAAAATAGTCATATATATTGATATGATATTACAGTTAATAAATTAATTTTGTTGTAAAATTTGAAAATACATCGGACAGGATTTTATAAATAAAATCATCCAAGTTTATAAGTAGAGAAGTAAAATGAAAGAATCTCAATAAAAGATAAGATGAAAAGATTTTTTTTTAAGAAGTCACCCACTGAAAAATAAGTTATATAAAATATATTCACTCCGTCCCATAATAAATGATCAGTCTATCATTTCACACATATTAAAAAAAATGTAAAAAAATAAAAGAAAAAATAATAGTTTAGTAGTTTTTTCTAGTATTTCGGAAACAAGTCTATCCAAACTCACTCAAAACAAGATGGTGTCTTTTTCTTTTCTTTGCATAATACTTGTTCCATATTTTTCATGAACATATTTCATTTAAGAAGCACATGTGCAATATACGCACACTGCAGAACACAAATATGATAACACTTTAATCAGTGATTTATATGCAAATATAATATCACACACTTAAAATAATAAAAGCCATTTGAATGCAAAAAAACTCATTTGGCAAAAATATCATATACAGATGCTATTGCTAATGAAAAAACAAACTGTGAAAGCAAATTTATGGTATGCTGCTATAGCCAAACAAACAGGGCATGTCTCCTAATAAGTGTATAAAAGCATTTGTGTGGTGAAAAGGAAGGTGCGTTAGCAACTGCATAAGCCATTTGATTCTTTTGTTGTTGTTGTTTTCTTCATAATGTATTTAAAGGGGAACGAAAATACGGGCAGCAACACATCCCAACTGCATGTAACTCCGGTGAATAGCTGTACAACTCGTCACCTGTATCCATTACAAACTTTAACAATGCTTATAGATTTACGAATCCAAAGCATGGAAAGGTATAGATTGCGCCAAAAGGGTGTATGTCAATTTACCTGGCAAGAAGAGACAGTTAAACAAGTTTTCTAGAGTCTCCGGTCAATTCTTTTCTTACAAGCTTCAGAATCTCCATAATCTGCAAAACAAGTGACTAATCATCAGAACAGTTTCTTATTGACTCGAAGATCAAGCGGTTCATAATATTTGATTCATGAAAATAAAAGCAACCTTCTTCATAAAGACAACTAATTACTATTACAAATTACAAGGAAATTGTGTTTTGTTCTGCTATATGTCATAACTTCCTTGATTTTATGAACACGGGACACTCTCCAAACCCATGTTTATAGTAACTACTGCTAATTTTGGATACATGCAAGCTGTAAAGGAAAATATGTCATTATGGCCTTATCCATCTTTTAAGCTATACTTAACAAATCAATTCGACATTAAAAACAGTGTGAACTTCCATGTGGAGCTTCATCGCTAGCTATCTAATGAGACAATTCTTAGCTGAAGAGTGGAGTGTTAGGCTAGCTCTAGAATTATACTCATTCATACTAATACAACTATGATAACATCACACTAACAGGTTGCAGAGAGCCAAATATAATGTATCATAATAATATTGGATACACATGATAGTGATTTCGTGCCATGTTCCCTCCATGCCAGTAACGACTGCCATCCATGTTTTCAACAACATAGAACCTTCCATTTTCAGTCCAATTCTATGTATCTTAGTGTTAAGGCCACATTGGATGAAATATGGCCCGGAAATATGTTTATAAGTTGTGCATAGGCCTTACCCTTGCAAATCGGTTTTGTAGAGATGAATTAGGCCCAATATAAAAGCCTAAGACTACGTAACGTGTTAGAAACTAATGATGTACCATTCAACTGAAAACATTGATATCGGTAATAATCATAAGCTGGCACTACAACAGAAAATGCAGAAATAACATTAGCCACGATTGTCATGACTTAATTTCCATTCCATATAATTTCAAGCAATAACTTAATTACCTCCATGCCACAGTTGGTTACATTAGACACACCCATTCTGATATGCACAAACATTAAAAAGATAAGTAGAAAGGGAAATACTCTCACCCCAGGATAATGCTGCAATATGTGTGAATAATGGTCAAGTGCAACGTAAATCCTTTCCAGGAGTCTAAGAAGAGTATCTACCTCGTCTCCCAAAAGATCAACCTGAAATTCCAGATGAGTCGAACAAATATAGGTTCAATTACTACATTTAGGCACAATCATAGATAAAGAAAAGGTAAAATGAAAATACTGTTCTCCTATTGAAAGACTGGATATCTTTTCAAGGCTGGGTATTAAACCATGTATCTTGGTTAACACGAATTTTACAGCATAAACTTGATATGATGATACATAGATCATTGATTAGATTTTTTTCTTCTACAAGCACTATTTATTTGAAACCACGACAAATCCTCACAATTGGACCCATTTGAATCAACCATGAGAATAATTCTCTGGCCACTTGTAGAGGCGGATCCAAAAATTATCTTTAGAAGGGTCAAGTTAATAGTAAAAAAAATATTTTCAGAATAGAAAAATATTGTTTTTAGAAAATATATAATATTGTAAAAACCCAAATACCTTACTTTTTAAAAGTTATAATTGTACTTGAAGCATTTTCATATTTTCCAAATGTTGTATGATCTTTTCATTTTCAATAATACTATAAAAAATAACTTTCTCCGTCTATGTTCATGTTTCGTGTTAGATAAAGATTAGCCGTACAAATAAGAAGATTAAAGAACTAAAATTATTGACAAATTAGCCTCCTTTTTGTCACAGCATTTACAGTTATTTAAGAAAATTATCTTATAGGAGTGGCACCTGTACTTTTATGGATAGGGGACAAATAAAATTTTGTGAAAAAAATTTACTCTATCGTGTCGCGCACCTTCTCCACAAAATTTTGAGAAAGCATATAACAAGTTTTTTCCAATACTATAGCAAATGCAAAAAAGTAAAATAAAATATTTTTCTGGTTACATGACGTACCTCTGCTTCAGCATTTGCAAGATTAGAACTTTTTGTTTCCAACCTTTGCTTGTACACCAATCCCATGGTTTTAAGTGCATTGGCTTTGTTCTTGAGGAAACAGAACTCAGAATTCATGCTTTCAAGCCTGAAAAGATGATTCAATATATGACTTGGTTCGTCTGACCATTAACCATAATCATCACAAGAACTCGAAATTGAGTTTAAAATAATAAAATCTGATTACAATCATTTGTTCCATATAAGGATTTTAATTTGAAACAAATTTGTTTATCTCTACAAAATTTCCAGGTTGTTAGTTTAACATGATCAAGCTGACTCATATAAATTTGCAGATAATTTATTTGCCCGCATTAGTACATTATAGCTATTTCTCATTCATAAATATACTTAAGCTGGCAGAACAATCTAAAGGCATTTGTCACAATAAATGACAACAAAAATATGCAGCAAATGATAATATATTTTAATATTTGGCTTCAATGTTGGAGAGGAAAAAATCACTTAACTCCCCAAATTAGAAGATGTGTCACATTCAGAATAATCCAAAGGTAATGAAATTGCACATGTTATGTACTTGCTGGTTTAAATAAGCCTAAACACTTCCTTATTGATAGAAGACGGCATAAAACAAAAAGAAATCATGGAAACGGCAGTTTATCATAAATTCATAAGATATTCTTGACACAAATATTGCATACCTCGAACAATTTCTTGAAATGTCTTCATTTACACTAGCTTCTAGACCAGTAACCATTTTCAATAATTTATGGACGAGATTAACGGTTGATTCCATTTGCTTAGTGGTTTCCCTTTCTTTTGCCTCATAACATTTCATTGCATCTTGTTGCTTTTCTGCAATAGTACAAAGTTCTCTTCTTTCTATATCAATTTCTCCAAGCTCATTCATTTTTTGTTCAAGATTCTGATCTAACTCGTAGATTTGCTTTTTGTATTTTTCAATTTCCTTTTCTGCTGCAACCAGATTACCCTTAGTAACATCCAACTCTTTGCTGTTCTCCCCAATCAATTTATATTGATTATCTGCCTTAGCTCTTAAATTGTCGAGCTGTTCAGAGGCAGATTCCATCTTTCTTTTTTCTTGTTCCAAAGCATCTGTTGCTTCTTTTATTAAATTTTCCTTTTCTTCCACTTCTGATTTCAACATATGTATTTCAGATATTAGTTTTTTGTTCTCGGCAGCTTTGAGTTTTAATGCTTCATCCGCATCTACCAAAGCTTCTTTGAATATAATTTGATGAATATCCAGCAGCTCTTGCAACATAACTGACTCGATATTTGCTTCTTCTATTTTCAATCCATAAGAAGCTTGAACACTATCAACAGTATCTTTCAATATCACTTCATATGTTTCTTGCATGAAACCATACTTGAGATACAATTCTTCAGTAATAAATCTACATTTACTTTCCATATCTTCAAAGAGACATTTATATACATCTTGAACAATTGAAACTTCAGCATGTGCATCCCCAACATCATCCTCAAGCTTTTGAACACTTCGTAACAAACTTTTCTTAGTCAGCTGTTGTTGTGATGACTTTTCCATAGCGACAGAAAGCTGAGAAGAGAGACTCTTAACTTCCTTCTTCTTCTCGGTTAGCATGTCCTTCAGTTGATGATTCTCAGTTTGTAAGAAATCCAATCTATCTTTGAAATTGTTAAGAGATTCGATGTTTTCACTGAATTGACGCAATTTCTCATTTCCATCAAGGATTTCATTCAATTTTGTGACGACATCGGGGATTTTTTTCTTCAACAAATCAAAGTCCTTGTCCTTCTTCAATGAAAAGGAAGAACCTCTTTCTTTCAAATTCAATAGTTCCCGCCTAAGACAAAAGTTTTCTTCAGTCTTCTCTTGCACTTGAGATTCATGGTTTCTTCTCATCTTAGTTATATAAGTAATCAAATCATCTTTAGACATGTTCTTTAGCAACGCAGAATCCAAATTGTCAGGCTTGGTACTCTTTGAATCCTCGTGTTTCCCGTTTTCTTCCACAGTTGAAGCCGGCAAATGATCTGTTGAAAGCTTCAAGTGCATATGCTCTGCCCTCTTATTATGACACCAATCCTCGGTATGCTCCAAGGATCCATGAGAAATAAGCGTCCCAGTTTCGTAAACTGCTAGTGTTCTAAAAATTGAATCCAAATCCTGACGCAGAGTTGAGATCTCGTTAAACTGGTTAAAACTATTCCTACTTTCAGATTCACAAATGCCACATAGTTTTAGTTCAAACTCTAGGTGCAAACTCTGAATACAATTGTGGATCACCATCCGCTCAATTTCCAACTGAAACTCTTGCTCCTCCCGCCACTCAGAATGTGTTATTCCCTTTGATAGCTGATCCATAGTACCTTTCAGACTATCAAAAGCTTCATCGACATAAATCCATCTTCCGGGCACATTCTCCTGCAAAATACCACCTAAACCCACCAAATCGGAACCAGAACTAAATCTTCTTAAGGAACTAGATCCTCTAATTTTATTTATTTCTTCCTTCAGCTTATCCAACTGCTCGAGTAACTCAAACTTAACACTATCCACAGGCTCCGTAGCTCCATTCTTGTCCATAACACCATCTAAACAATGTTGTCTAACACCTTGACGGGGCGAATACGACAGCATTTTACCTTCACCCAAACCAACACCTAAACTACTTAGCTTTTCCTTCAATCCAACCACCTCGGATTCTTTCTGAGCAACTCTCTCAGCTGCCTGTTCCTCAACAGCATTAACCATACCCTTAATAACAGAGTCACTCACCATCCTAGAGATAATCAACCTTTCATCAATTTCATCAATATCAAGAAAAATAGATTCCATTTCCTCAATTATATGATCACCAAGCCTCTCATCTTCCTTCTCAACACCATTTTCACCACCACCATCCATAAAAGTAAAACCCTCCATCATTTCCACTTCCCTAAACAAGATTCAACAGTTTTAGATCATTCAAAACAATCCAAACACATGAAAATATAGAACAAAAAAACACTAGAAATAGTTGCATAATAGAAAGCTTTACCCGTTTGTTTGGAAATGAAAATTGAGGGAGATAATAGAAAAATCAAGCTTGAAAACAAGAAAGGTAAATAAATCGAAAAATAAACGGTGAAGAAGAGTTGGAGAATTTGGGAAGAGGAGTGCGAAATTACGGTGGTGGGTTTTTAGGGTTTAGTGGTAATAAATGAAGATGAAAAAAAGGGTACTAAGTTGCAACATTGCATCTAAGAGAACTTTGTGTTGTTAGAGCGGGAGTGAGAAAGAAAGGTCAACGAAAATCACGCACACATTTTCAAAGAATATTCACTTTTATATATACTACTAGTTAAGGCAACAAATACTTCTATTTTTTGTTAGTATAATCATGATGTAGCTTTACTAAGTATCCGATGCGGTTTATTAACCATTACACACTATATAACAATCATGAAAATACAATTGCTCAAATGATATCATATTTTCTGAACAATTTTAGGGTAGACAACATTGATAGATATACAATTGTCCATTTGTAAAAATAGGTCTCGGTAAGTATAGTCCAACATGAGATAATGTTTGTCCTTGATTTTTATTAATTGTCATTACAAAACATAAACACACAGGAAATTGTCTTCGTTGGAAAGTGATGGAAACATTAGTCTATGAAGAAATGAGATTCCTCCGTGGGATATAAACATGTTCCCAATTCAACAACAATCAAACGCGTTCCATTACAAAGCCTAGATGCAACAACTATGTTTCTAAGCAACATTATTAGAACACCTACTTTAAAATTCAGTTTATGGTTAGGCATAACAGAATATTTAATATCATTTAAAACTCAGTTGTAATCCAACGACGATCAATTCTCATATCTTCATCACATTTGCACAGTGTCACAACTGAGATACTCCTTTTCTTTTCCAGAAATCAATTTCATGACAAAATCATTGACTTTTTCCACTAAATCCAACATAAGTGCTAAAATAGCTATATTTTGAAAGAAGTTTAGATCTTTCATATTTTCAAACAATTGTGGATAAATTGATTCAACAATGTCACCGACATGGTTCCCCGAATTTTTTATGCAAAGGTCATCAGGAATTTCAATTACAGCTCCACTGTCACTTATTTCTCCTAATTTATTATCGCCAATATCAAGAATCCACTTAGCAAACAACTTCAATGATTCATTTCTTACATTGTCTATAGAAAATTGTAGCCTCATATTCTTAGTTAACTTCAACAATCTACAATAACGCCATAACGGGGATGAATTAATAGTCGCATGAACTATATCAGCACGGCCTCCTTTAGGAACAGTAGAAAAAATTTGTCGAAAATCTCCACCAAACACTATAGATTTTCCACCAAAGGGTAAGTTTATTGCACCATCAACAACCTTGTTCATTATATCTCTTAAACTACAATTAAGAGCTTCAAACGACCACCTATTAATCCTTGGTGTCTCATCCCAAATAACCAAGCTTGTCATCACCAACAACTCTGCCTTTTCATTATTTATTTTTTTCAATCCTACAACATGACTCTTCCGACAACACTAACGGTATTGCAAATTGAGAATGAGTCGTTCTTCCACCGGGAAGAAGTAATGATGCAATTCCACTTAAGGCTACATTGAGAACAATCTTATCTCTTGAACAAAATCAAAATGAAAGTGAATTCCAAAGATATGTCTTGCCACTTCCTCCAAATCCATCAAAAAGAAAAACATACGTCCTAAATTGTTATCAACTACATGCACGATCTCTTTATATGCCAATAATTGTTCATCATTTAAAGTTTGAAAAATCTCAATATGCTTTAACAACATCTCATTGCAATCATGTGATAACTTATTTGACAACAATACATTATTAAAGGCTTCAACAATTTGGTATGTTTATCTTTGACATACACTCAAAATCCCCCAGTGTCTTCCCATTTGGACGAAGAAGTTTATCAATTTCTATCAAACAAAGTTGTTTCAAATGATCAGGTAAGATAACTAAATCTGCATAATTTTGGAAACACAAACAATTAAATAAAATATTTGGGAGAATCTATTATTTTTAAATAAAAAAGGTACAATGCATCAAAAAATATAACCATACTAACCTGGTGAATTTAACAATCGACGTTTATCATATAAAATTTCATCAGACATAGTTTCCCATGTTTGTTCCTAAATATTGAATAGGTCAACAATTGAGGAAGACAACAACATATTTACAAATATATTCTGAATATAAAGCCCAAAACCAATAACAGTAACTTTGTTGATAGCATCAATGAACTCGCAATCATTGGCCAATAAACCTAGTGCACCACACGCTTCTTGGAAAGTGTCATACACACAACCATCAACAGTTCTTATATCTTGAAAGTAGGTACATCTGTAGCGGTAGAAATATTTAAGACTAAGCATTGGATTGACTAGACTTATACGGATAAAAAAAATCGTCATCGCGCTTTATCATTTCCAAAGGAATGAGAAAAGAGCGAGTAACCCAAAAAGAGGGGGAAATATTCAAGGTAATTGGGTTGGTTATATAAAGGGAAGGTATTAGCATCCTAAACATCTACGGTACTCCGTATGAACCTCTTTGTAAATTTGTATATTTTGGCTATGAAATGTTGTATAAAAAATAGATGGTGGAGGTGAGAAAAGAAATATATTTTTTTATGATTTTTGCACCCGCCGCGGTTGCGAACCTTTAGTGTCTACGTACCACCTTTCGTGCAATAGGGGATCAAGGTACACGTAGTTCCTCTTTTGAAAGAAAAAAAAACACAAGTGTGTTGGTTAATTTTATGAGATAAGACATCATCGTCATTGTCCGTGTGGAAAACATATTTACTATCCACAATGATGAGAAAGGAGAATTTGCATCATCTCAAAATGGAGGATATAGCTTGGATTTTTAAAACAAACAATGCCTAACTCAACACCCAACTGGAAAATATCTCTCTTCACTATATATTGTAGAAGTATAGTTGTTTGCATCACTACAAGGATTGACAAGAGTCCAATCTTTTGAGAAAAGTTTTTAAAGTAAAAGCCAAAGTAGCAAAAATAGTTTGAAATGAGATTGATTGACTTTTAGTCTTTTCACAAAAAATGTCAAGGTATTATTATGTTGGTTATGGTTTATTCATGAAAATATTTTGAAAATGCATGGACCTGGATCCAAGTTTATTATGAAAGTAATTTAAGTTTTAAAAACAAAGAGAGTTTTCAAAAGGAGGGAAAAGATTTTTGAAATTAAAGAAAATGGGAGGAGAAGAAGAGACTATCCTAAAGCATAAGGTAAAAGTTAGGGATAAGAACCATCTAACCAACAAGAAGCCAATACTTGACATTATGAGTCAAGATAGAATTCTCATTCCTTGGATTAAAACCAAGCAAGCAAAGATACTAGACCTCTTGAGACAACCAAACTTCAAATGTATTAAGTCTTTACAAAAATTGGGCAGAGTAACAGTTGTATACGGGTGAATTCCATATTACAAACAAAGTATGTAATTACAATAACATGCACATAAAAACAAACAAACAACCCAATGTCTTGAGGTAAACCTCAAGAGCTCCAGACAAAATATCAATTAAGGTCACAAGGTCTCTAACATAGGCCAAGGTTTCTAATCCTAAGTCCAAGATGTCTAATACTCCATAATGCCAAGGATAGTAACCAAATAGTCCAAGTATCATCAAAGCTTTTTATGGTTTATGTTGATTATTAGGTGTCTTAAAAGAGGAAAGAAAAGCTCAAGTGAGCAAAATAAAAATAACAATATCAAGAATATAAATGCTCAAATGAGCAAAATAAAAATGACATGAAATGTAATGCCTAAAGTAAAAGGTGCGTAAAGCATAAAAAATAAAAGCATAAAGTAAAAATTGTTTAATAATTAGTGGTTAGTTGGATGATCATCTTGAAACTTGCATTTGGAATTCATTAGAGGATTGGTAGAACCAAAGCCTCCACAAAACAAGTTGCATTTGCTTTTTGTCAAGTATATCATCCATTTGGAATTCTCACAAGTGACATTTAATGATCAATGATGTTTAAGTGATCTGCATTGACCAAAGGTGATGTAGATCCATTAGAGGATTGGTAAAACCAAAGCCTCCACACAATGAATCTCAAATTTATTGGATCAAAGAGATCAAATTAACATACTTGGGCTTGCAGACATAGGTTTGGGCCACGAATGATTATTTATTCGAATCAGGACAAAATTTAGCGCTATGTTAAGCAATCGTAAGTGGACTTATATAAAAGTCGCACCTATTTTGAGGCCGGTCAATAGAAATTTATGCACCATTTATTTTGAGACATGATATAGAGATCATGCTCCAATAACACTTAGTACAATAAGAAAGGGATGAGATGAAGAGGGATGTGGAAGAATATACAAACCACATTTGAATTAAATTTTAATCAAACAATTATTAAAATCATTCATCCATTTTTATGGAGTTAGACTCAACACCATAGATTCAATGATGTTAATAAAGTTCATAATCTAAAATTCAACCCAGAATCATCCAGAAAATAATCACAAAATAATATTGCATTTAATATATACATTAAAAGGGTTTTAAAATATTTTTTAAAATAGAAATAAAAGAGAAAAATATCAACTATGTTCAAATTAATCAAGAAATAAAAAGTAAGACCATGGAAAAATCAGAAAAGGACTCAGATATTTTTATAAATTTTTTGGTAATTTTTTAAAGTCAGAAACTATTTCTAAAATTAAAAGAACTAGGTAAAATAAACCAAAAATGATAAAAAAAAATAACAAAGTCATAAATAAAAAATAAACGAGGTCACTAATATTTGTCACAATATCATTGAATCATTCCATAATTTTTTCAGAATTTAAAAATGCATAAAAGTATTTTTAAACATTTAAAACAATTC